GCGCAGATCCGAGAAAGCGGCGAATCGGGTTGGCGTGAGGGTGGAGGCGATAGGCCAGGCAACAGAGAGAGAGAGAGAGAGAGCGAGAGACTGCTCAGTCTCTCGCTCTCTCTCTTGCTCTAGGAACAGAGAACGAGAGAGCGAGAGAGACAGAGAGAGGTGGAGAGAGACAGGGAGAGAAAAACAAGCAGAAATACAAGGGAGCTCCCAGCATGCAGGTCGGCGCGGGCCTTCCTTCCTCGAGCCTTGCGCAAGGCGATGCCGTGCGACGCAGCCACGCGATCGCGCTGACCGGCGGCGAGCCCAGGGGGGCAGGAGGCTGCTTCTAAGAAGGCGCCCGCCCTGCACCTACACCCTGCGAAATGCTTAAGAAATCATGGGTAAAGAAGTTCATAGTCTCAGAACTTGAATAAAAAACCCAACATTTCCATTAAAATCTTAAGATTTACATTGAAACGTTAAGAATAATCGAGACTCTGGCCGAAAACTTAAGTTTTCTTAAGCATCGCCTAAGGTGTATAGAGGAGGCCCGCGCCTTCTGAGAGACAGGGGTGCTTCTAAGAGGCCTTCCCCCCTCCCCCTATACCACCCCCCTGCGCGCGGCTGAGGAAGACTGGCCATCGCTCGGACGTCCCTTTCCTGTGTTTTTTTCGGCTCCGTGCATGGTTTTTTCGCGAAATGATCAAGGATGCTCCTCGATGGTCCTCGCCGAAGGAAAAATGCACACGTCCGAGCGATGCCAAGAAGAGGGAGCCGATCCCTCGCAGGGGCGCCTGGGTCACGTAGCTCGCCATCAGCTGGATGAGGACGCTCTCGATCTCCGGGAACTCCTGTTTGGACGCCCGAAATGGGCACGGAAAGAATGGGCACTATGCCCAACAACCAATGTTGTCCCAAACCAACAGCGGCCGCTGTTGGGCGGGCGGCCTTCTGTCTCGAATGGACACAGGCCGCGGCGGCGCGGACAGCGAATCCTGTTCAAAATGAGCAGGAATTGTTGTTGGGCATCGTACCCATTCTTTCCGTGCCCATCTCGGGCGTCCAGAAACTGCACAACCACGGTATCCACAACTGCACACAACCACGGTATCCACAACCACGGTATCCACAACCACGGTATCCACAACGCGGCGGCGTGGACAGCGGATCTGGTTCAAAATGAACCAGATCCGCTGTTGGGCATTGTGCCCATTCTTTCGGTGCCCATTCCGTTCGTGCCGATCCAGGGGGGGCCGACCCGAAACCGGCGACGCGCCTCGGCGACGCATCGCCGATGGATCCCCGAACAGGGAAGTGCGGGAGCAAAGAGAGGGGCGACCGAACCGTGCGAAGGAGGGAGGAGGAGAAGGAGGAGGCTGGATGGATGGATGAGGGAGTGGAGAGAATGAGGATGAATAGGATGAGGAGGAGGAGGAGGAGGAGGAGGAGGAGGAGGAGGAAGAAGAAGGAGGAGGAGGAGGAGAAAGAGGAGGAGGAAGAGGAGGAGGAGGAGGAGGAGGAGGAGGAAGAGGAAGAGAAGGAGTAGGAGGAGGAAGAGAGAGCAGAAGTCGGCGGCGCGCCCAGGGCGGAGGGCGGAGGGGGCGGGCCTCGTCAGGGGGCCCAGGGCGGCCCCCGACCTTCTTCAGGAGGGAGAGAAACACGCAGACACCATGAATCGTCGAGTCCCCAGAAAATATGGGAAAATATGGGAGGTGGGGGGAAGACAGAAGCCCAGAAGGTATGGAAAAATGTGGGGGACCTCTTCATTTGCGTCTTTATTTGTGTGTCCTGGGGCCCCATTCACTTCTGAGCCTGCTGGACACCCTCGACCTCTGGGAACTCCTCCAACAGAAGAAGAAACAAAACAACTGCATAAGCATAAACTTTTGGCGCTCAGCGCGGGTCTCTTGGATCCGCGCTGGAACCCCCCTCCCTCCAAGGACCCCCAAACGGGGTGGTGACCACACCGTGTGGTGAGTCGGTGGGGATTCGGGGTCACCGCACAGTTTTGGGACTCGGGTACCTCTCCGAGGATGTCTCGGGCGACAAGGGCCTCCAAGGTCCCAAGACCGTGCGGTGACGGACCGTGCGGTGAGGTCTCTCGGGGGTCCGAGGTCACTGCACGGTCTGTCACCGCACCGTTTCGGGACTGCGAATCCCTGGCGCGCCAGGGGCGGCGCCGGAGGCGCCGCTGGGGGTGGGGGGGCCCAGCGCGGATCCAAGGAATCCGCGCGGAGCGCCAAAAGCTTATGTCCATGGCTTTTCTGTTCGTCTTCGATCCAGGCCAGGAGAGAGAGAGAGAGAGAGAGAGAGAGAGAGTAGGGGAACAAAAAGTGACATAAACATAAAAACTCGGAGGTCCGCGCGGATTTCTCGGATCGGCGCTGGACCCCCCTCCCTGGCACGCGGAGCGCGCCAGGGGCGGCGCTGGAGGCGCCGCCAGGGGGCCCCAGCGCCTGTCCGAGAAATCCGCGCGGACCCCCGAGTTGTTATGTTTATGTCACTTTTTGTTCCCCTAGAGGGAGAGAGAGAGAGAGAGAAAGAGAGAGAGAGAAAGAGAGAGAGAGAGAGAGAGCTGTGCCCATGCACCGGTGCGGGCGCAGGAGCCCACCCTCCGGGCCTGGGAGCGGGGCAGTCTCGCCCCACCGGCTCGGCCCGGGAGCGCGTGCGCCGCTCCTGGGCCCAGGGGTGGGCCTGGCAGGGCAAGGCAGGGCTCCGCTGTTCGCCCCTGGGGCCGTCGGCTACATGCAGGAGTGACCCTGGGTACGGCAGGTTCGTGTCGTGTCGACCCCGGCGTTGGTTCCTGACACCTCGGGGATCATTCAACCTTGAACGATCGGCCATTGCAGAAACGTCCAAATCGTTCCACATCGAACGATTCTGGGTCGCCCGCGGCGTTCAAGATTGAATGCCACTGGCAAGGTCGCCGCCGGTCAACACGGCACGAACCTACCGTACGAGTGGCCTATGGTGCGCGACTTTTTGGGGGCCGCGGGGGGGCCAAACCTGGGCGCGCAAGCAGCTGCCACCGCCTCGTTTTGAGCCATCTGAGGACCCATCTCTGCCCGCACCAAAGGCCACTCCGGCGAAAGGTCACTCTTACGTCTAGTCGAGGGGGGGGAGCGGCCCTGGCCCTCGAAGAGCTCGGCGGGGGCGCCAGAGCGCCGAACCAGGGCGAGCCCCGCGGCCGGCTGGTCCGCGCCGGCGCGCTCGCGCGCGGCGGGCAGCACACCGTGGCGCCCCATGTGGCGGGCCAGCCGCGGGAGGAGAAGGAGAAGAAGGACGACGAAGAGGAGGAGGAGGAGGAGGAGGAGGAGGAGGAGGAGGAGGAGGGAGGAGGAGGAGGGGGAGGGGGAATTCGATGGCTTCGCAGTGCACGGCTGCTTCGGAGAATGTGCACGACTGTCTTCGCCCGCACCGGTCTTGCCAAGGTGGGCCGCGAGGGCCCGGCAGTAGGCACCGCAGCGCCAGCTGTGTGTGAAACGTGGGAAACACGAAGAAGCGACGCCTAGCTGCGCAGGGCTCCAGAACTCCTGGCGGAGGAGTAGGAGAGAGGAGGAGGAGGGGGAGGAGGAGGAGGAGGAGGAGGAGGAGGAGGAGGAGGAGGAGGAGGAGGGGGAGGAGGAGGAGGAGGAGGAGGAGGAGGAGGAAGGAGGTAGGAGGAGGAGGAGGAGGGAGGAGGAGGAGGAGGAGGAGGGGCAGTCGGCATCAAGGCGTCGCTCTCGCCCTGGCGGGGTGGGACTACCGACGCAACCTGCGCCTAGCTGCGCAGTTGCGTCGGCAAAAAAAAAAAAAACAAAAAAGAACAAAAAAAAAAAAAAAAGAAAAAAGAAAAAAAACAAACAAAAAAACAAAAAAAAAAAAAAAAAAAAAATAAAAAAAAAAAAATAAAAACAACAAAAAAAACGGGGGGGAAAAAAAAAGAAAGCACGGCTGTTAGCGAGGAGGGCTGTCTTGGCCCGGAGGACGAGGCAAAGTCGGCGGCGCGCGCGCCCAGGGGGGAAGAAGCAGAGCGGGCAGGCCTTCACAGAAGGCTCCGGAGGCCCCCGACCCTCTGAGTCTTCTGGGCGCCTTCGATCCCTGGGAACTCCTGACAGGGCTGGACCTAAGCGTTGTTTCTCGTGTTGTCTTCGTTTTGCTGTTCGTTTTGCTCTACCTGTTTTCCTGTACCTCCCTGCCACAACGAAGAACAAGACACCGCCGAGGTCCAGCAAAACAGCGTTGAGGTCCAGCCCTGACTCCTGAGGACCAGGAGGGAGGAGGAGAGCCATGCGCGTGCAGCGCTCCCAGGCAGGCGCGTCCTGGGCCCAGGATGCTGCCCTGGCTTGGCCAAAGGAGCGTGCACCTCCACCGATCCTGGGCCGGGCAGGGGCCTGGCGGGGGTCCGTGTGCGTGCATCGCCTTCCTCGCCCGAAGGATGAAACCTATGCGGCGGCGCGCACAGCGGGGAAGGCAGAGAGGGGGCCTCAAACTGGACCCCAAGAGGCCCCCCAGAGGCCGCCTGCGGCATCCCAACGAGCATGCAAGAGGCCTGTGACCCACAACCCGTGGCAGGAAGGACCGAAGGCCATTCGAGATTGCACCACGTAGCTGTCATCTCATAGCTGACACATCCGCAGTGCAATGACGTACTGCTTGGGGTCTGCACAAGCAAACATTGTTCCACTTTGCTCTGTTGTCTACTTCACTTCTCCCGACTGCTCGCCTAGGCATGGTTCTGGTCTGGATGGGCTGCTGGGGATACGGGACGCGCCGGGGAATCACATTCGCCCATACACCTGGCGGGGCTCGGCGGAGTGGCGCCGAACCACTTGGGCGACTATCAAAATTTGTATCACATCGGCGTTACAACAGCTTCGTCATACATTGAAATTCGATCATCCTGCATAAGCAAGGGCGAATCCCGCCCGGTGGGATTTCTAAAACCGTGAGATTGTACGCCGAAGTTGGGAGAGGCTGGCCAGGCAAACGGCAAAGGACGGGCCGCAGAGGCAAGGACACAAGGGCAACCTAGATGAAGGCGCGCGTCCTTACGGGGCGCGTTGTCTGTAGCTCGATGAACGAGACCAGCTCGCGGACCTCGAACAGTAAGACTAGAGTGTGTTTCATCGGCAGCCCCATCGCACGCTTCGTGGCCCCATGCAGAAGGGGGCTCTACCTCAGGCCCCAGTGGCAGCGCACGCACGGCCGCCCCGCTCCATGTCGGCACACCCTTCGCACGCTTCGTGGCCCCACAAGGCTAGATCCGCCGAGGGCGGTACACACAACCACGGTATCCACAACTGCACAACCACGGTACTCCAGATTTCGTAATAAAGGGAGGGGGGTCTCATTTCGGGGGGGGTCTCTTCCAGGCTATCTTGGAGGGCCTGGGGGGGTCTGGGGACGATGTTCTGGAGGGTTCTCCCACGGGGGAGGTCTGAAATGGCTTGTCTTGGAGGGTCCAGACCCCCTCCCTTTTACTACGAAATCTGGAGTAAAAATAAAAAAAAATAAAAAAAAAGACACACAAAAAAAAGAAAATGAAGTAAAAAAAAAAAAAACAAAAAAAAAAATAAAAAACAGAAAGAAAGCCGAAAACCCGGCGCATCCACAAGTCGGCCCGCGCGGCCCACTCTGGCGCTCATAAACAAAAAAATCCAAAAAAACCATATCCGAAAACCAAAAAAAAAAATCCAAAAAAAACAAACAATAAAAAAACAAGTTCGCCGCGAAGTAGGCGGAGAGGTTGGCCGGCGCCATCAGCTCCGAGATCACGGGGTTCCACAGGGGCAGAACTTCGCCCCAGGCCTCGTCGCGCTCGTTGATCCACTTGTAGATGGAGTCCAGGATGGCAGAACCCGAGGGGCAGATCCCTCCCTTTTATTACGAAATCTGGAGTATCCACAACGCCAGGACCACTCATCGGCAGCGCCAGCGGTCGCGGGCGCCGCTTCCGGACGGGGCGCGCCGAGCACGGGGCGCGCGGGGCGGGCGGCACGGCAGCGAGCGGCCGCGGGGGAGGAAGGGGGGCGCGGCCGCCGAGGAAGAGGAGGAGGAGGAGGAGGAGGAGGAGGAGGAGGAGGAGGAGGAGGAGGAGGAGGAAGAAAAGGAGCAGGAGGGGGAGGAAGGGAGGAAGGAAGGCAGGCGAGGTCCGCGGGCGCAGAACGGCACGACCCCGCCGTCTGGGCGGCGCTTCGTGGGAGGGCCATCGCGGGGGCCTTTCTTCGGGCCCCGAGGGCCTCCTCTGGGGCCCTACAGGGGCCCCCTCCGCCCTGCCGCTCCCCTCTCCGCAGCCCTCACTGCCCCCCCCCCCCATGTATCGCCCCCCCCCCACTGCGCGCCCCACCAAGCCGTCGGAGACGCCTGCCCCCCCCCCCCCAGGCGGCTGAAAAGTCTACTCCAGATTTCGAAATCAAAGTGAGGTGGTCTGGACGCCTCCAAGACCAGCACATTTCAGACCTCCCCATGTGGGAGAAAACCTCCAAAACATCGCACCCGACCCCCCCCCCAGGCCTCCAGAATAGCCTGGAAGAGGACTCCCCTCCTCCGAAATGAACCCCCCTCCCTTTTTATCACGAAATCTGGAGTACGACTCTGCGTGGCAAAAAAAAACCCGCCCGCACGCAGCCGCCCTCCTCCTCCTCCTCCTCCTCCTCCTCCTCATCCTCCTCCCCCCCCTCCTCCTCCTCCTCCCTCGTCCTCCTCCTCCTCTCCCTCCTCCTCCTCCTCCTCCTCCTCCTCCTCCTCCCTTCCTCCTCCTCCCCCTCCCCCCCCCCCTCCCCCCCCCTCCTCCTCCTCCTCCTCCTCTCCTCCTCCTCCTCCTCCTCCTTTTTCCCTCCTCCTCCTCCTCTCCTCCTCCTCCTCCTCCTCCTCCTCCACCTCCTCCTCCTCCGCCTCCTCCTCCTCCTCCTCCTCCTCCTCCTCCTCCCCCTCCTCCTCCCCCTCCCCCTCCCCTCCCCCTCCCCCTCCCCCTCCCCCTACCACCTCCCCCTGCCCCCTCCCCCTCCCCCTCCCCCCCTCCCCCCTCCTCCCCTCCTCCCCCTCCTCCCCCTCCTCCCCCTCCTTCCTCCCCCTCCTCCCCCTCCGCCCCCTCTCCCTTCTCCCCCTCCTCCGCCCTCCTCCCCCCCTCCTCTCCCCCTCCTCCCCAGTTAGCTTATGAATGCTTTTCTGGATGACTTGAGCCGCGATGTCGCGGAGCATCTCACTCTTTCAGTTCATTCTGAACACTCTACTCTGTCTGCTTATAATATCCTCTACCTAACTCCAGGGGCCTGCTGATATCCTTACTCTGATCCTGCTTCTTGAGGATAGGTAGAAAGACACAGGGCGCTGACCGGCGCCTCAGATAACTCGACTAAGTCGATCTCCTGGAAGTTCATCTTCACGCTGCTGTTCCTGATTGTGATCGGCTTCTCATTCTGCTTCTTGATGTTCGTAGTGGTGCCAGTGGAAGTAGTCCTGGTCAAATCGATAATACCTGTCGTCATGTACTGCATCAACTTCGGGAAAGTTCCCACCTTCGTCAAACCATCCATGATCATCAGATCCGTAGGTAGGTGGAATACACGCATCATTCTGCCACTCACGCGATCCTCACGCAATGAGAGAATGCACAACCTCTGAGTCTTGTCCACTGGAATACCTTTCTGTCCAACTATCAATTGATACAGGTCAAAACAATCCGTTCCCATTTCAACCGGCAAAACTGTCAATCCTTGATCCTGTAGATTCATCAAACCTTGAAGTGTCGTCGTAGATGTCCTGGTGATCCATGGTTTCATCAGTAGTTCTGTATAGCGTAGGGCCACGTACTGAGCATTCTGAGATCCACCAACTGCTGAAACTGCCTCTGCATGAGATGTTGAGTAGCTGATCCGCTTGCCTTTCTTAGATGTGCCTGACAAAGGATGAGCCTTAGAAATGAACTTGCTGTAATCATCTGGACAGAGCAAGCCATCTTTCGTGATCCTGATTGGTCTATCCTCGCATAAGAACAATCCCTGCGCTTCATGAGCATAGCTTGTTACCCTTGAACCATGACTTGCATCTGTGATGGAAGATAGCTTAAATGGACCATGTAGACGATGAAAGTACAAACCCATGCCATGCCGATTCCTCTTGGCTCGATCTAGAGTCAGAATCAAGGCCTTCATGTCGGCGATGGTCGGCTTTGTCTGCTTGGACTGAAGCTGCGTGGTAGCTGCACTGACGTCCCATCTGGTCTGCAAAAGATGCAATAGTTGGCAGCACAATGAACGATAATCGTGAATCTCCTCCTTCGTGCAAAAATCACTGTCTTGCTGTAGTCGATGCTTCGATATCTCGGGAGCCTTGATCGTGTCCAGGTACGCGTCTTGATTGATGAAGATGCAGCCGTTGGATGTGCGAGTGTATTCACATCCCAGATGAGTGAATGGCATCTTCTTCCTCGTGATCTTACCAAACTTCTTCTCCATGAGCTGATGTCCCCAGTCTAGCCAATCTTGTCGTCCTACTGGTAGTAGATCGTCGACGTGAAGCGTAGTGGCCATCATCAATTCATCACCTGAGTGCCAGGTGAAGCAGTTCTCGTCAAGCAATGCCTTTGCTCCTGACATGTCGTCGCATACGTACAAAGTGAAGGCTGCCTGCCACAACAAAGGTGCGTCGACCAAACCCGGTACAGGTTTGATGCATTCTAGAACGTACAGATGCGTCTCAGAATCGGGAATATCAAATGTCTTTGAGAGATCTCGCAGACGTCGCCAAACGTTGGCTGGTGGAATGATGTACACATGTCTTTTCTCGCGTATGTCCAGGCCGAGCTTCTTAGAGTTGCGAGTCAGCTCCTCGAACTTCAGACCTTGAAGAAAAGCAGATGATATGTCCCATGATTCAACTTGGAAGTTGTCGTGCGTCTGTGCTAGGGATATCATCATGCGTTGACTGACTCGAGCTGCTGTGGAGCTATGACGATCCACCGCGTACTTTTGATTGTCCTTGAATCCTCGACCACACAAGCGTGAACGTAAGACCCATTTTTCTTTCCACATCCATCTGCGCACCCATACGGAATCAATGAAATTGTCCGTCGCACAGTCTGTCTTCAGACGAGGGCGAAAGCAATCGTGCTGCACGTAGGAACTGATCTCCTTGTGATCTGCGGGCTCGATGAGATCCCACCATTTGGCAAAGTCTTCCTCGGCCACGGGATGTTCCGATTGTGAAGCGTAGATGGGTATACACATGTCTTCAAGGATATCATAGTAGAAACACTCGGCCTCGCCCGTACTCTCCACTACGAACATGCTGTCGGTCCTCTTCCATGGGAGCGTCATGGGCGAAGCGTCGTTCACGTAGTGCTTGTAGTCCTCGAAGTCGTCCTTCATGTGATTGACATCCTGATACAATTGCAATAGGTCCAAGGTTCCCGAAGTACAGGATGTCCTAGCCTTTTCCGTGAGGAAGTGCGTATAGTGATGATCGTCGTACCTTGAATAGTAGGAGCTGTCCTCTAGAGGTACAGGTTCTGCGTCTGATTCCGGGTGTTCAAGATCTGGAAGCGGTACAGGTTCGTCATGTCGTCTGGTTTCTGGAAGAGGTAGGGGCTCCTCTCCTGCATCGTTGTGCTTCATCATCTTGTGCATCGGTTCCATGCTACCAGACGTGTCGATGTCTCGCTTCTCAGGTAAGAGTCGTTCATACTGTTCGTCTTCGGATATCAACCTTTCCAACTCCTCAACCAGATCACGTGAAGAGTTCCCTGCAGTCTCATCCTGTGCTTGTGGATAGAGAGGTGCCTGTCCTGGATTGATCTCCTCGGTGATGCTGCTCATCTCCTTCGTGAAATCCTGATCCTGTTCCATTGTCTGTGGTGCATGTTGAATCTGTTGAAGACGTGCCTCATGTTGTCGATCGGCTTCCTCCATAATCCTGCTCATCTCCTGCGTCAGATCCATGCTCGCATTGTCCTGATGCTGCACTGTCTGTCGCATGCTCTGATCAGATGGTGATGAGATCAGATCAGACTGTGTCATACTCTGATCGACTTGCTGCATGCTTTGATCGATCACAGTGGGTTGTAAGATCACGGGCTGTAGCTGTATTGGATACCACTGTTGCGCAGGTACTAGTGGTGCAGGATGGTGTGAGATAGGAGGTCTTGCCGATGATGTTGAGGTTGAACCGTTGCCGCCAGATGCCGTTGGTACTAACGAATTATGAAATAAATCGGACATGCTAGATATTGAGTCTGCTGCTCGTCGTGGTGGTGTTGATACATCATGCCTCACGTCCAGGTCTATCAGAGGTGTCTCAGCGATCCTAACCTGACGATGGTCGGGAGTTCGATAGACTGACTCACGACTGCTGTCCTTCAGTGCCGATCGTGGTGTCCGAGCTGATTCGGGAGAAGGCATGAGCCGACCGAGTTCCGTTGAGAAGTTGTCCTCTGCATCTTCCAAGGTCGTCTCAGGTGATGTGGTACCTTCAGTCAATGCCGGAGCGGGCGTAGTGATCGTTGCTGTCGATCCAATGTCGTTGGGTTGGTGTCGTGTCGCTCGCGGTGGACTGTTCTCTGAGGCGTCCTCGAGGATGGTGATGCTGGATATATCCAAGTCGTCAATCGGTCGATATTCGTCGTGAGAAATTGGAGCCTCCTTTGATGCCAGAATAAAGAAATAATGACTGTGCCAGGTTGCTCCAATGATGTTGCTGATGTTGTTCTGGACGTCCAAGTTGAGCTCACGGTTGATATAGTGTTCCCGACGATCGGGATGCCATGCAATCAATACTCCATGCCGAAGCGGCTTCAATGAATGTACAATCCTGAAACCCGTACCGAAGAAGATGGAATCCACTCCAGGTAGTCCGAAAACTGAACTGGCCAGGTGCTGGATGGAAAGCCAGAGCTGCGATGGTTCGTCTTGAAGATCTCGTGGTACTAGTGTCAGACCGCCCTTGCCATCAGGTGCTTCACCCATCCGATGTAGTACTCCTGGTGTGCAGTTCTCAATCACTTCAAACAACTGAGCTAAATCGCCTGGTGTCTCTGTGTTGTCCAGATAGATGTTGTGCGAGTCGATGTGGAAACCCAGGACATGGTAGCACAGTTGCCGTGGTCGCAGATGTCGGACTGGCACGATGAAAGGTTGTCCCTGATGTGTGACAATGGCGGTACCGAGGTCCTTCGACAAAGAGATGAAGTCCGCTGGACCTCTCCAACCGTCGGCGTCTTTTCTCTCCGGAGCTCTCCAAATATCAACCTTGTCGTGTGGTTTCAAGGTCTCGAGCCACTTCGTGTCGAAACTCTGTTGTCTCGTGTTGGTAGCACGTGCCAGCCTCTCCTCGACTATTGCTTGTGGCATGTTGACCTTTGCGATGAGCCGTAGACGAAGATGCGCCTCCGTGTAGTCGGGTACTTGCTCAATGATGCTGTTGGCACTGGTGAGAGTCTTGGACTCTGGGTCGTAGGCGTCCTTGGGCATGAAACCGAATAAACCTTGAGCAGGCACAGAGCCGCCATAGTTCAGGGTGAGGTTGCCAACCATGGCTGCCTCAGCGACGATGTCCTCATCGGTGAGGTAGGTGATGCCCTGCTTCACGCAATCGGCCTTGGTCTTGAGAGAGACTGTCTTGATCAAAGAGATGGCGCGTTCTGCAAGACCAGTGTGAGTGTGGGCTGCCGTGCCTCCGAACTCGCGTTTGATCGTATAGCGATCGCAGAAAAGAGACGCCATGTCACCTGTGAGCCCTCCTTCTTGGTCAATCACCAAGGTCTCCATGGGTCCAAAGATCCTTGTCCATAATTGCACGTAGCCCTTGAGTATGTCTGCAAGTGTCTTGCTGTTGAGACGTCCTGCAAGTCGGAAGCGTACGCATTCATCAATACACAAGAGCCATACTTTCTCGAATAGGAAGAACAAGTCACTCTGCACGCGCTGATTGAAATAAGTCGCCAATGTTCCTTTGACGAGTGGTCTGTTCATGACGCGCATCCTGTTCCTGCAGACTTCGCAGTGTTGCATGATGCCTTGGCAAAGCTTCAAGATCGCGGGAGGTAGTCCCAATGCTTTGCAGAGTCGTTCGCAATCAGCATCAATAGCATGAAAGAATTTCTGATGCAGTCCTACCAGTAGCTTCAGACGTTCCGTGTCGTTAGAAGCTTCTCGCATCCGCTGTGCAAACTTGGTCAGGTCAAAGTTGGGCTGCAGTACCTTCGGTTCCTGATACTTGTAATCGTCACTAGGCTGCTTTCCTCTTAGGCGTCGTCGAACTGGTGCGGCAGCATCAGTGTCCAGAGGAGGTGGTGGTGGTGGAACCTCAGGCTGAACACCGCCATCATCTAGATCTGGTGCTGCATCTGCTGCTGGAACTTCGAGTCCAGGAGGAGCCTCTGGAACCACTTGTTCAGGTACTGCTGCTTCAGGTACTGCGTGTCCGGGATGCTGGTTCAGGTACTGCTGGCTCAGGTGCTGCTGGTTCAGGAGCCGCTGGTGCAGGTGCTGCTGGCTCAGGAGCTGCTGGTGCATGAGGGTCTTTAGGCTTGAAACTACATCCATGCACTCTCGTGCGTGGTACTTCAGCTGCATTGCCATGCTTGCACCGTGGGCAAGTCCAATGAACAAGTTGTGTAGCCTGATGTAGATGCCGTATCATGTCTTTGGTCAATGCCTTGCATAACTTGCCAGGGTATCGTGCTGCCTTGGCTGTGCGTTTGAGGCCGTTGGAGTCATTCATCTGCAGGTTGGCATGCTGAGTCACGCAGTTGCAGTGTTTGCTGGTGTCGCGAAGTCGTGCCGGACTCTTGAACATTGTGCGTTTCCTGATAGGAAGGTCTTGTTCGTCGTCGCGAGCACCATGTCGGCATTGATCTGTGACGTTGTCGTGGAGCGTGCCTCGATGCTTCTGAACTAGTGCGTCCAAGTCCTTCAAAGGTGAATCTGACCAAATGTAGGAGCGCCAAGGGTTCTCCACAATGAAGTTGCCGTCATTCTGCAAGATGTCTGGAAACAAGTTGTTCGTGAACCAATACAGCATCGGGCGTTCAGCTTGCCGACGCTGTTCCAGCTCGTGAGGATCTGCTCTGTTGGTAGACTGTGACCAAGGCCTGCATGAGAAAGCGCATAGTGTATGTCGAGGTCGAAAAGCTTGCACCAGTCGTTTTAAAGCCTCCCGATGATCTTTACGATGTAGGTCCCAGCCGTATCGGTAGTCTATCGGTGGGAGTACAATACACTGGTTGGAGTAGACCTCGGCTGATGTGCTTCCCGTGCCAGAGCATACCTCCTGAAGTAATGGTATCATTGCTTGCTGAAATGTCTCCATATGTTGTATGAACTCATCTGAATTGTTGGGAGTAATCATTGGTAGACGAGAGCGATGAGAAAAATGCTCTGGTAGGGCCTTGTATTCCATGTCCATCTGTTTCTGCTCACTGGCTGAGAAGTTGTCTGGCCATAGATCGCTGTGATGCCTGGGCACCTTGAACTGCTTCCAATGCTCGTAGAAAGCCTTGGCGTCACTGCGATGATAGCTCACGTACACTGCCTTTGTCGTCAACATTGCCGAGGGTGTATTCTGAGAAGGATGATCTGACTTGAGATAGATCTTCGTGTTCTGCTCGGTATCCATATCCTTACACTGATCCTGCTTCTTAGGGGCCTCGGAGAGTGTCTTGGTGGTAGTGTCAGACAAGGTCTTCTCGTCAAGATACTGAGGAGGTTCAGCTGCAGCAGGACTGGAGTCTGGTGCCTGACTCGTCATGTCCTTGTTGTCCATCTCGGTGTCGACATGCAGTGATAGCCCAGAGCTTCGTGTTCGCGTCGTGGGACAGTTATGTAGCAGTTCTGCTGTACGATGCTCGATTCTGTTGATGAGGTCTGTGCGCTCGCTGATCGACTGTTCCTTGAAGTTGTCGATTGGCAGGAAGAGATGTTTCGAGTCCGTGAGATAGAGCCTCGTGACGAAAGCGCGCTGACCTGGTGGCATGATGGCCAAAATCCCATCACCACTTGGAAACATGTTCTCGTAGATGATCGCTCGCTGTTCCAAGAGAGTGGTATTTGGAAGCAATGCTGGACAGCGTGAACCATTTCCTCCAATGAGGTCTCCACGATATGTAGTGTTCCGAGGTAAGCCACAGACACCAATGTTGCCAACAAACTCTCCGCAGGAGGGGTCCGTTTCGCCACTGATGCCAGTAAATGAGGCCTCTGACTTGCCACACTGATATTTCATGCCTCGTGGTCCGTATATGTGCTGAACCCATTCGCGTAGCGTCTCTGTGCCAAGGAGACCGTCACTTGCACCTGGGTCCACGATGATCCCTAGACAGGGTTTGCCTTGAATCGTGATGTAGACGGTTCCTTCCTGTTCAGCATACGCACGT